TAGATTGGGTTGATGGTCCGATTGCCTAAATTAGTGAATTGTTGATCAATTCAATAGTTTTTAAAAAAATAGCAATTCGGGGTGAAATGGAATTGTTTGAAAGCCTTTTTTGTTATTAATTATCTATACTACTAATAAAAGAGCGAATAACCCCATTTTCTGAACTTTTCATTATACATTTTTATCCCTTATCTAAGCAATATACAACAGGCATATACCTCATTTACTCTCACTCCAAAAACTGCCCACTTATAATAGTTAAGAAAGTATCCACTTATAACTATTCAAAATACAGTCTACTTATAACAATTAAGAAACTGTCCACTTGTAACTGTTCAAAAACTGTCATGAATTGTAAATAGTTTTGTCTTAGAGATAATGTCAAGTGCAAATGCACGTACTTGTTTACTAGTTTAGTATAAATGTGTGAAGCCTACACGAAGGAATTAACGGCTCTATCTACAGCACTTCCTAACAATTCCTACCATGTACAACTATATGAGTGAATTCATAATTCGCCCCCACAAACTTGACTCAATTCGATTTTTAGTAATTTGGGTCGAGTTAGTAAAGCTTGGAACTTTGCTTGATTCATAGGTCGTTATTGATTCTACGGTTTTAATCAATTAATTTTGTGGTTATTTTTTTGCTCTTGGGGGGGGGGGGGGGGGGGGGTAGCCCATCCCCCCCAAACCCATAGATGTCCCTAAGGCAAGTGCAGGCGGGATTCGATCCCAAATCTCCACTACAATCAACAGGAGATCTTACCAACTAACCCGTTGGCACTTTTTCTTTTTATGGTTATTTTTGTCCATAATGAAAACTAGTTTCCATCTCCTATGACAATAATCCAACCCATACACCACTACAGTTGTACATTGAGAACATGTCTCTGGATTTGCTCTCCATCATTTGTTCCCACACTACACCCATGGAACACCGTTGTCGTGTATAAGAAACATCTCCCTATAAAATGAAAAGAGAGATATTCCCAATGCACAACTGTTATGTCCTGTGGGTAGGGATGTGGGAACAAGTAGTGGGTAGCAGATCCGAACCCTAGGGACATCTCCCATATTTTCATGTTATCATTCATGGGGAGATGATGTCATGTTGGTAGGTGTGGGTAGGAGATTTGAATTATACATTTTAGGTGAATGATAAGCATAATCTACCCGGCCTAAGCTATGAGTTGATTTGCATGATTTTGTTCTCTAAATACAAAAAAAAAAACAGTATTGAAATTACACATCTCTATTAGCCCTAGGTTAATTAAGTTGTAGTTTGGTTTGTCTATGGCCCCGTTTGGTGCATCTTTGCATGCGGTTTGCTAGCTATTTACAAGTCTGGCAAACCGTGATTCAATCTTTTCCTGTTTTATTTGCAATAGATTTGACCACTAAAAGCCGGCAAATTGAAAAGACACGAAAAACCCAAAGCAGGTGATTTTTGGAAAGTTGGAGCTGTGTTTTTTTTTTTTTAATTCGTCTTTGTGCAGAAAGACATGTAGAAAGGCACGTTCCTTATCCAAATGGGCTTCAGACTGCTCAGATCTTAATGCAAAAGCCCAAGACTAGAAAATCTTCCCAAAAAAGATTGGCCAAACAGCCCCATAGTCATGTAGATGTGAGAACATCTTACCTTCATCTCCACATCTCTCACAACCTTGTGAAGTAGAAATAAAAATTGGAATCAKCAGGAATGAGATTTCATTCCTAAAGGAGAGGCAGAGAATGGTCATTTTCTCAAATGGAGGAATGCCATTCCAGCAGGAATGGGAATGGGATTTCTATTCCATCCAATCAAATAGTTGGAATCAGATTCCAATTCCAAACACCCATTCCTGCAAACCAAATGGAGCCTAAGATTTTACAATTCACTAGGCAAGAGGATACAAGTGATATAAGTTTAGTTCAATTAAAGAGGGTAATTCCAACATAATCCTTCTCTGTGTGAAAAATGACAAGCATAAAAATGCAGGTTTGAGTTTGAAAACTGCTACTATGTGCGAAAAATGAGCAAATTCAGTCCACCACAGTTTAGAAGACCCTGGATGGGTGGTGAATATAAAGGACAAAGGGCGTTGAATGAACTGTTTTGAGGGGTTCATTGGCGTGCATTTCTTCAATGTTTTATGGTAGCTGATATGCAGATTCAGCAACTATCATCGAATCCACCAAGACATGGCCCATGGACTTTCTTTCTTTGGGGCATAAAAAAGTATTTAGATTCCTCAACTTGTTTCAAGTACAAAAATATGCTTGGAATGAAAGCATTTATGCTTTGCTTTTCCACTTTGGATGAGGACTAGGGTTCTTGATGAATGAAAAATGTTGATGGTTTTATTTACTCATTAATATTTTATTATCTAATTGTATCACATCTATTTTATTATCATCTATAAAAGAAAATAAGCCATTCAGTTCAGCCACTTCAGCCCTTGTCGAGCCGCCCCCTTAGATATGGGTCCTACTTCAAATAACAAATGCTCAGCATGCGTTTTATATGGTGAATATCCATAAGAAAAGAAGTTAGAATCCTTCCCCCGTTGCTCATTCTCCAATGAAGAAAAATAGCTTTAATTTGGAGAGAATTCAAATACTAGATTATTCCAAGATTTCGGATTATTCTAGTTTCTTGTGTGGTGTGGGGAATTTCTTTGGGACCCATTCAATGATAGTTCTTGATCACAATTTGAAACCAAACGAATCAACTCAAGACTCGACCAAGTGGGGTTAAATCTAGCAAGTCATCATCCCAGTCTTGAATTTTTTAAGCAAGTTAATGTGGACGGTAATGGGGACCGGACCCAGGCCCATATATGGTATTGTAGCCCAAACCCAAGATAATTGGCTCTTTCTATACTTTCTATACAAACTTCTAAGTTTGGCCAAAATATGGTCGTGTACTCCTTGTCATCTAATTTCCACGTGTATATTCTTCCCAAGCCGTCAGGCATAATTTATTAATAAATGCTCAGATTATAACTCAGTGAGTACAAGACTACAACTACAAGAGGCAAGAAAAGCGAAAAAGGATTTAAAAAAAAAAAAACTATTATGTATGCATGTATACCGTGCAGCAAAAGATATGGACTAATGCTATTTTTGGTTCACCTCCTATTAACATGAAACTAATGTTTTCAACCCGCCCATTGATTTGGCCAGTTTAACTGTTCGAATCTTCACCTGGTCAGAACTTCGGGTCTGGTTCAGTTAAGATCTATCAGACGGTTAAAAACTGTTAATTTGGTCAAGAATCGTTCAACTATTGATCCATTCGATTCAGTTGCACATTCGATACATACAAAACTTCTAGAGGCTATAAATTTGCACTCAAAGATCTGATTGGAGTGATTTTTTTTTTTTGATAACTTTTCAAGATCTATGCGTCTCAAGGTGCCATAACCCTGTTATTTTCACGAAAAACCCTTTTTTGACCTCAAATTACAATTTTTAATATTTTTTAAATAAAAATTAAAAAGCATAAATTAAATATAAAACAATACATAAAACATATTTATATATTATTTATTATTAATATATATATATACACACACATGGTCTAAACTGTTTGACCCAGTCGGTCGAACCGATGACCTGCAACCTGGAGGCAAAAAAGATTTGGCCTCTGGGTCAATTTTTAAAACATTGCATGAAAGTACATTCCTCCATAAAACATGAACCAATGAAAAGTGAAACACATATAACATGATTGTTTTAGAAACATCAAATAACAAAGAAATCATGGAAGGCTCAGTTTGAAAAGATTACAATATGTACATTATATATACATATAAAATAATACAAAATATTAAGTTTTACAGTCTACATATTTGCATTATACTCCTTCCGAACTGAGCCGAAAATTTTTCCATTCGCGTTTCATGGAGGAAACAAATTCAGCTTAATGTCGAACATAACCAACATTAAGATAAACACGCCTACTAGTCTCATTAATGTTAAGTTTGATCTGCTGCTCAGTATTAAATCCATGTGTTAAGTTTTGAGAAAAAGTTGAAGTACGAAGTACGAAGCTGGTGAAAATAAGAAGAGTACACTCACGACTAAATGACTAATAATTAATCCACAAGGTCCCTTTATTAGATGGAGGGTTTGAATCTGATGATCAGCAGTACTCAGAGCAGAATGATTTTGTCAATTGTATTTGATCAAAAGTCCTCCATTTTCTGCACAACATGCAGCTTTTACATTTATTTTCTTTATTTTTTTTTTCAGTATCCAAAATGGCCTCTTACCAAGAATCTCCATTGTCAGCACAGAGAAACTGTATCCAGAACCTAGAAACAGGTTTTACAATTGCAAAAGTTAATAAATTGCTTGTCCATTAGGCATTAATTAGCTTATGAGTTTGCTTTATCTTCTAATTAGTGTGGCAATTAATCTCCATGATCACCTCAATAGTAGAAACGAAACCCCATGTATTCCTGTGTTTTGTGTGTTTATGAATCTTCAATGCAATGAAGGTATTTGATGAATGGATTCTGAAAGCTGGAATGACATCCCTTCTTTATACATTTGAACTTGATTTATTTCCAAGATCTATTCTAGCACTAAGCAATGCATCTGAATATAATGTGCATTCGCCGCACCACTTATGTTGTTTCCCCATGTAAATTCTGACCATGATTACCGACACTTACGAGCTATCATGAGGTCGGTGGGTCACCAGCCTATGTGCCCGTAATACAGCTCAAGGCCAAGTTGCAGAAGGCAAGAATGACTTGCATATAAGTTTTGATCATAGCCTGACTCTGACAGTGTTATAAAGGCTGCAGGAATCTAATTATCTGGCCATTTGCTTGTCAAAATTCACGGAGAATTTCTCGAGAATATTCCTTCTGAAACTGTGTTTTATTTGGGGTGCAAATCATAATTGGACACAAATTTTGCACCCGGATCAGTTTTTGTTTGCAATTATGACTTGCATTCTTATCCGATACAAAATTTGTACGTTTTATCTTATTTATATTCATAGGCAGTGCAAATTTTGCATCCCAAATACTGATACAAAATTGGTATCACCTTCCTTTTACCTTAAATTCTCTCTCTTATAAAGTGGAGAGTGAAAACCACATCATCTTGCTTCTTTCCCAAAGAAATAACCTTCCTCCTATCTTCATTCTTTACACTCCCATATATTTACACCTGTGCAAATGAAATTCACACTGCAAATAAATGAGCACCCACCGCAAACAAAGCGTAAACTTTCAAGGCTTATATTGGACATGCTGTAATTAATATTAATATGTAATTATGCACCCACAGTTTGTCAAACCGGATACAGAGAATCCTAACTTCCTGTTTTCAGAGAATTAATTAAAAGCTTACAGAAGTTGTTGAAGAGCCATTATTGTATTCTTGAAGGAATACATATAAATATGCAGTAGCTTAATTTCTTTTGATCCATAATAAACTATTACTGGCCTACTGGGGGCAAAATTTTAGGGGAGCCACACCATAATTATCATTTCATACATCATACCATGGTTACCATCTCTAGTGTTTATATATGAACGTAGAACCAAGAAGTACTCAAGTCTAAATTCTCACTTAAAATCATTCAACAACCATGTCTCCCCATCCCAACACATGGCAGCTGGTCCCTGCTGATCAATAGGAAGATATATGCCCATTATCTGATTTGATTAACCTATACCAATTAATACATTTTCTGTTAACACACAGCTGTCACGTTTGAATTTTGACATACCATTAGGTATAAATGGGGTTCCTGTTACACATCAGTCACAGTTCCATCTATTAAGAGTTATGCTTCAATTGAATGCACTTCAACATCAAGTTTAGGCCATTATCTTCAAACTACCAAATGGTTTATTAATTTCCATCTCTGTTCACTTACTCTTTCAGCACATTAATAAAGTGCATTAACTTTGTAGCAATAGTTGTTTAGATACATGTCTAAGTATGTCTGCTCACATGTGTTTCTTTGATTTGATAATCAGATTAAAGTAATTAGACATGTCCATGCACCTAACAAGCTACTTGATGCGACCCAATTCATCAATCACTCCTGCTTTTATGAGCTGCAAGCAAAAATACAGCTGAGACAATTGAGTACCCCTTGCCATGGCATTTATGTTATATGTTTAAAGGTAATTGAAATGGACTTTGTCCTAGGGATGAATATTGAATATGCCGATTGTAATTGAGTGTTTGAGATGCATACAAATTATCATAATGGTATACCCCACCACAGTCTTGTTTATATATATAAACTATCATAATGGATCCCTTCAGAAACATTGGTTTATGTATAAACTATAAAAGAAAGTGGGTCTATTTTCCTTTTAAGTGATAGTAGAGATTTTTCTGGTAATATTAAAATGTTCAGTTAGCCTACTTCATACGCATTGAGAGGAAAAGGAAATGTAATAAGAAAACAATTAACCAACATAATTGATTAACAACGAATTAGAAACTACGTACAAGGTCTGAACTCTAATCTAATTAAACACCTAACAAAAAAAAAAAAGGAGAGTTCCAAGACAAACCTCTCTCAGGGCTTCTCTACAGTACAAGAAAACAAGAGCAGCTGCAGCTCTTCCCCCCCTCAAAACAATATAACTAGTTCACATCACATCATATGTCTTCACGCCTTATTTTGTTTAGAAGAGCTGAGATGAGGGCGTCTCTCTTCTCCGCCCGAGCTTCCTCTCGAATTCGTCTTTGTTCCTCTATCTCTCTCCACCTCCTATCCATCAATAACCTCTCTTTCTCCAACGCCTCCATTGTCTGTCTCCATTCCATCTCCTTTAACCGTCTCTGTTGTTCCCTCGCCTCCATGGCTTCTCGCCATTGCACTTCCATTTGCACTTGTTGCCTCATGAATTCCTCTAATATCTCTTGCAAATTATTATTGTTAGTGCTACTACTGCTGCCTGCTATACCCGCCGTACTGTTATTGCTCCTACTCTTTTTCTTCTTCTTACCACTGAACTTCTCCTCGTCGTTCTCATCGTCATCGTCCGATGACATCCGCGTTTTCTTTTTGCTCAAACTAGAACTGCCCGCTCCGCCGCCTTCAGCTTCAAGCCATAGCATCCTCTGCATCCTGGCGTTGAAGATAGACTGTATCTCGTTGTAAAATGGGAATTGTTGTCTCACGGAATCAGGTTCAATAGTTTCACAGCCCTGACGGTCACAACTAAGTAATTAGATCAGGTAAAAGACGACAAACATAGAACAGTACTGGAAAGGTTGAAGCTTTTAGGATATATATATATATATATATATATATATATATATATATATATGTTGTATATATACCTTATATCGGGTAACAAGGTTCTTCCACTTGCACTTGCACTGATCTGCACTTCGATGGTAACCTTTCTCCTTCAACCTTGTCGAGATAACCTCCCAGAGGAGCTTGTTCCGTTTGGTCTCCATGAAAGTCCGATCGAGCTCCGCCCTGATCAATAACAACTCCTTGGTCTCCTGAAGACTCCATTGAGGGAATCGATCGCCTGTTTCCATGTTAACGCTCGGGTGATGTCCCTCCGTAACACATAGCATAGGAGAGGAGAAGGAGAGAGAGAGAGAGAGAGAGAGAGAGAGAGGGGAGGTGAACCTTTGTGTCGGGAGTGCACTGGAGAGAGAGAGAGAGAGAGAGAGAGAGGAATTATTTTGTAGGTGGTGGGTGATAAGAGAAAATTAGGGATTTATATGAAGTTGGTGTGAATGGAGGGGGATCGTCAAAGCTGTTTCAAAGGGAGCGTTGGCTTTCGTTCAGATTTGAAGTTGAAGAGAGATAATAAATATATAGATTTGATCGAGATTTATTTAAGGGAGAAATTTACTGTATACGGGGCGGAGGTTCCATGGATTGGTACGACCTTATTTATCACACCGCGTGTCGTAAAGCAGGCGATCAAGACCATCTAATGCGTTCTAAATATTCCTACACATCTGTGAAGGGAGGAGGGATTCTAGCTTTTGTTTCCAGAAAGTTATTCTGGACGGTGGATAGATAAGACAATCAAGAAGGTCACATAGATGGTCGAAGCCATCAACCCAAGATGATCATCCATCATCGTTACGTGTGAGATGAGATCCACCAAAATCTGGTACTCCTCGGTTGAAGGAGGAGCTAGCTGGAGGCTCTTGCTTACCCGTGGTTGGCTTCTATTCTTTGTATCCAATAACAATTTGTTATATAATGCTTTTGAGGCACATCTATCTGTCTACGCGGAAATACAAGTATTTTGCTTCCCCATTTGTTCCCATTGCGTTTTCTGGCGTCATGCTTACGACTGCGCCTTTATTCTCCTCTCATGACTCATGACTCCCGACATCCCCATTTGTTTATCCATAAATAATACCAGAGTAACGCTAAATGCTTGCTCCCTAAGCCCTTCTTGTAGTCTGTGGATGTAAGTGGGTACCCGCCTTTATTCTTTCTGATGGGGGCAGATTTTTTTTTGGAAGATTGGGTTTTGGAGGAGAAACGGATTTTAGAATTCTACCATCTATAAGGTTAAGGGTATGATATTAGGTTAAATCCGACTTTTATATTATTAGAATGTATATCAATTTTATATATTAAGTCTTGAATTTAATAATATTCTGAAACTTATATAAAAGATAATTGATAGTTTATATATTTTTTATATGTTTTAATTAAATGATTGAAAATTTTGTAATTTATTTATATTATTTTATTTATTTATTATTTATATATAATAAAATAATAAAAAAATAAATATGGATTCTAAACCCAACCCTATCCTTAAATTCGGGAAGGATAGAGTTGGAGGAGGGTTTGGATTTTTAAAATCCAATCCCTATGGATTTTGGGATGAATACGGGTTGGGAGGTTTAGGAAGATAGATATGATTTAAAATTTACAAAACCCTCCTAAACTTGCCCCGTTGCCATCCCAACATCTATTATCAGATCTTAGATCGGGTTGATGTGGGATTATGCTTTTATTGAGACGGATCGGATCGGACTATATTCCTTTCCCTTTTAATCAGGAGTGCATTTGGGTTGGGTTCGGATCAAAGCGAAATTCGTTCCAAACCTGACCCATTTGGAACGAGTGTCAAAAAATAAATATGTTTATTCAAATAAGTTTAAAGTCATTGTAAAATTTTGCAATGAACATATTTGTATTTTCACTCTTGCCCAACACAGAGTCTGGAATCTGGAGTCTGGACCCTACGGTTTGTGGGTTACGTTACGTGAACTCAAAGCTTTTGCATGTATGCGAATATAATGTTGATTGTGGGCCGTCCATTACTTATTTTGTGCTGTATCCAATGACGCGCTTATCTGATCCTGACCCCACGTGATCCATCTTTCTCTCACTTCAGAGTGAGTACGTGGCTCACCTGCAGCATTTCAGAACGCTCGGATGGGGYCCACATCACAAGCAACCCTGTTGCACACTTGCACATGTAGATGGTGTGAGTTGGCCTAGTTCACACCAGATGACCAGAACCAGAGAGATATCCCACCGTTATGTATGCCAAATCAGACCCCAGAGAGGACGATAACGGAAATAATATAATATATTGGCCTAGCCCCAATCTCCCCAGAAAAAAAGGGAAAAAAGGAATCAGATGGTCAAATGTTTTTCAATAGGGTTTGGAGATTCCTCTTTTTACTAAATGCAAGTGGGACCCAATCCCAATATATGTGGGGCCTACACCTGTCCCAGTCCCACGTTTTCCGATATGCCAAGTACCATTCATTGAGCAACTAGAAACAGAARTAAAAAAAATGGGTGTTACCATTAAGGCGAATAAGCCACTTTTGCCCTCTCATTGCTGGTAAAAAGACGGATACGCCACTGTTGCTCTGACGTGGATAAGTCATAAATAAGGGGACAGTTTTGTCTTTTAACGGATCGGAGTCATGATCAAGGCTGTACCATTGTAAAGAACAATGGAATGTAATCACTTCCCTACATCTACATTAATTGAACGGTTACGAGATCCACTGTATCTACCTTTGAATTGCGGAACGACATTGACTACATTTTGTTGTTTTCCTTCTTATATTTCAAACATTCAACCTTCCAACTCTACTCTGCACTTATTCAAATGTGTCAGACCGACTGACCGTCGGCGTGGACTAGACCTGTTCATGGGCCGGGTGCCCCGACGGGCCGGCCCGGTCCCCAGACGGGCTTGAACAGGTACATAGACCCACGGGCTTAACCTCGGGCCAAAAAGCTCAGCTCGCAATAAATTCGAGCCGGGCTCGGGATTTGTCAAAATAGCCCGGCCCGACCTATAAATAAACCTAAAAACCCTAGTTGAATAACCCTCTTTTTTTCACCTCTTTCCCTTCTTTTTCCAACCAAATTCTTCTCCACATCCTCTTTCCCTTCTTTATATATTTTTTTAATATAAATAAATTTTAAATTTATATATTTTTTTAATGTAAATAAATTCTGATTTATATTGATTATTGAATAGAGAAAATTTCTAATTTTTTTATTAGGTCGGGCTTCGGGCTTTTTATTAGGGTCGGGCTCGGGCTCGGACCTAACATATTTCTATTAATAAAGAGTAAAAGTCCAGCCCGAGCCCAGCCGGGCCTGGCCCATGAACAAGTCTAGCGTGGACTCTAGGTCCCGTCTCGAACCGAAAGGAGCGCTGGTTCGACCCTTTTGGGTTTAATAGCTCTGTCCGATTTTAGTGCTCATCTGGGAGGGCTTTCAGCCTTTCACGCAGCTTGCAAGGAAAAGGGATGCCCTACTCCGACAACGGAAAGCCGTGAAAATAGAGTAGTGTGGTGAAAAACCAAACAGCCCATAATATATTTATAAGAGCTGATAAATCAACTTCAAAGTTATTTTTTGATAACTTCAATTCAAAGTTGCTGAAGCGCACCCAAATGGGCCCTTAACCTAATTCACCTGCCTATTTCATTTCGACTAGTAGCATATAATCTGTTCATCGGCCACTCACCACTGGCGTCCGTGACTATGGAACCGTGACAAAAACTCTAGTAGGTACCCTACCCTATACTGTTGCCATACATGTTATTTCCACTCCAAAATCGAAAACAAGGGAGGATTTTAAGGTTCACTTGCAGGGACCCGTGCGATGTACGGGAAAATTTGAAATATTTAATAATTTTATTTTTTATTTAATGTTGATTTATAAAAAATAATTATTATTATTAAATAAATATAAATAAATATTTTTTAATAAATTTAGTTTTATTAATGATTTGTAGTAATTTTAATAATTTTTATTTTTTATTATTTTTAAATAGAATTTTGATTAATTTTAAGTAAGTAAAAATAATTATAAAAGTTAACATTTTATTAGTTCTACTAATAATTAATAATTATATAGGAATGACAACAAGATGGGTTCAAGGCAGGGCACCCCATCCCTTTCCATGCCCTATAGTCAAGACACTACCCCATCCTCGCCTTGCCTCTAGTGTCACGCGGGTTCAGGGCAAGGTAACCACTACACAATATTGGGCGAGTTTAGGGGTAAGGCACCCCACCCCTCATCAAGGATGGAGAATCCTCGAATTTCCCTGCCATGTCCCCATTATTGGGCTGGTTCAAGTAAAGGTGTAAATTGGGTCGTGCTGGGTCGGCACGACACGACCCGCATGTGGCCCGCACAAAGTGCGAGCTGTGTCGTGTTAGCCCGTGAGGCGTCCCGGGCCATGCCTCCCTCCTCTAAGATAATTTGGGGTCGGTTCGACACGATCTACAACCCAAGCCCACACGGGCCCGTGCCATGCCGTAGGTCGGGTTGGTCCACTGGGTCGGGCCTTGGGCCAGGCCATGCTACACACCAAGCCAAGCTCAAGGCAAGGCACCCACTCCCCGTCCAAGGTTTTTAAAATTGGATGGAATAGGGAATTGTTCTAGGGTCGAACGGTTCGACTGTTCGGTAATAACGGATGACCCGCTATAGCAAAAAAAAAAAGAAAAACAAGAAAAAGGCCAAAAATTGTTGTCCGGGTTGACGGTTCGACTGCCTTGGTCAGCGATTTGCTAACCAAATAAACGGTTTTTGTACAAAAAACGATTTTGAGGTTAAACGGTGTTCGGTTCTCAATTTTTCCGGTCTAACCATCTGGTTTGATCTAGTTTTGAAAACACTATCCCCGTCAACCCAATTATTCAATTTGATGACATAAATGATCAAAAGAATATATTGAGTATCAACCACATGATAAATTTCTAAAAGTACACTATATTGTTTTTAATATTCAAATATGTAATTTTATGAAAATTTTGGAAAATTGATTGTATTTGTATAATTTTGAAAAAATTATTCAAAATTATTTAAATTTCTATTAAATAATTTATTTTCTTTTTAAATGGTTTACTTATAGAATTATATTAATTTATCTTATAATTTCTAATACAAACTAACCAATAGTTTCCTTTTTCTAATATTATACTAATTTATCTTAATAAATTGTGTAATTATTTGTTCAAATTATAGTTTTCCATTTCCTATAGTCATTTATCTTTAATAATTTTCAAAAATTTGCAATAAAAACTACATGATCTTCAATGGTTTTCCAAACTCTATTAAATGTAATAGATTTTCCTAAATTTTCCAAAATATTCTAATAATTTTCAATAATTATTTAATGCATTTTAAATAAACTTTCAAATACTTGATATCTTTTGATTTCAAAAATATTATTTTACGAAAATGTAGTTTTATGAAAAAATTTGAAAAAAAATATTACATTTGTGTAATTATGGGGATTTATCGATTTTTTAATTATTATTAAATATATTTTTTATTTGGTAGTTTACTAACAAAATAACGCTAATTTATCTTTTATTTTCAATATAAACTAATTAATAATTTCATTTTCTAACATTATATTATTTTGTTCCCTCATTTGTATTTGGTTATTAATTGTAATAATAACAATAACTAAAATTTTATACTTTTTGATAATTGTTAAATATAATTATCAATTTTATAGAAATTAGTTAAAGAGTTTTCAAWTTCTACAAATTGTTGTTAATTAGTTAATTAATAACAACATTTATTAATTTTTGGTAATTTACTAACCGTACTAATAAGAATATTTAATTTTTCGTAATTTAGTAACCGTATTTATTAACTTTGGGTAATAATACTATTTAATACTCATTGAATATGGGTGGGATTAAATATTAACTGTACTTAACTATTTTATTGATTAATATGAATATTTTAAATGAGGGAGAGTTAATATAGATTGGGGGATGCATTTTGGGAATTGATTATGGAGTGGAGCAACATGATGCTTTCCTATTGGTTTAAATCATGGTTTTTGAAAACAAACCGATCAGGGGCCCATTATGATGAAAAAATAAAAAAAAATAAAAATTTGAAAAACGGTCAAAACCGTTCAGACGGTTAACCGGCCAGTTCAATTGTTTATTGACCAAAATCAACGGTTTTGGGGGGAAAAAGCGGTTTTGGAGGAAAACGGAACTGGTCAGGTGACTGGTTCTCAGTTTTTCAGTCCAACCATCCAGTCCGATCCGATCCGATTTTGAAAATAGTGGTTTAAATGAGACACCTCAAGAGAGAGATTTTAGGAATATTTTTAGGTTGTTGGGTGATATGACTTAATGGGAGTAGTGGGAAGGGGAGAGGAGAGAAAGTCAAAGAGAATCCAGGGTGGAGATAATGGAGGAAGGAGAGGCATGGTGATGAGGACTCGTACGATGCAGGCCTTTGTTAAGTGAAAGTTAAACAATAGAAATACATAAGAGTATATAATTGTTTTATATTTTAACTGTTTAATAAACAATCCGATCAAACTCAACCCGAGATGGTCGATTTTCTAGTATTTTAAATCGACTTTGGTTTAATAAATGTATCTTAATATTTTATATTTTACATTTAATTTTTTAATACAGGAATGTAGGAAAATTCCCATATTTCTTAGTCTAAAATATTTTATATCATATATTTAATTTTTGTAATTTATTTTTTTAATAATATCATTGTAATTTAAAGTAATTTTTTGAACAAACAAACTAAACCGAAAGCATACCCAAATCGATACAACCCGAGTTGGTGGGTTTGGAGCACCATTTTTTTTTGAATCGTGTTTGCCATGTAGGATGTTTCCTGTAGCAACAACTTTTTTCTTTTTTGGTACCAATGCTCCAGGAAATGGTTTCTTCACTTCTACCCATCCTCCACTACCACATCATTGCCCTGTTGGCAGCAACAAACTGCAGCTCCAAGAAACACCAAAATTGGCATTGCTCAAAGCTACGCCTTCCTGATTTCCAAGGTGTGGCTTGGAGCACCGTTTTCTATGGAAAAATGGTTTCAAATAGAATGCTGTTTCTTGGAGCACCATTTTTTCCTACATGCCGCTAATGTAGCGCCATTTTTTGGAGCAACAACAATGGTTCCAAACAGACGCCTAATGGTCAATCGGTTTCAAGTGACAAACTGCAAAATTGACCATATCGATTTGGTTGGCGAAACAACCTACAACTGAACTGAACCAATCATTGAACACTCCTAAGTTTAACTAAATTTATTGTATAATCTCCAATAAATAACAATAATTTAATCTCCAATAATTATTGAAAATTTATAGCAAGCGTACACAATCATTGAAAATAAGTTTATAATGAAAATATAATAAAAATATATTAAATACAAAAATATAATAAATGTTGAGAATACACTAAATTATTCAATAAATAGTGTAATCTCAAATAAGTATTAATATATAAATTATAAAAAAACATATAATTACTAAAAATAAAATTATAACAAAAAATATAATAAATACGATAAATTAAATTTCAAAGTTAAATAATAGATGAAAAAATAAAAATAGATTTGTATTGATAAAAAATACATTTATAAATAATTATTGAAAGGATATTTATAAAAAAACAATAAAAAAGTACTGAAAATAAAGTAAATATTATAGTATATATAAATATATAATGATATACACTATTATTGTAAAATTATCACTAATAAATATACATTTTTTGATAGTTATTTTCTATAATTATTAGTCAATATAAGTGAAATTAGTTATTTACAATGTTATTTAGTTATTGAAATAATATTGTTATTTAAATTCTTAAAACATTAATTATTTATTGAATTTAATAATACATAAAATTATAATTGTACTATTATTACATAATTAATTATTAATTTTGTAAAATATTAAATTATTATTAATATTAATATTATGAATTCTATTATAATTATTTTTATACTTGTAAGATTTTTTTTTAATTTATTACATAATTTCGTTATTTTAACTATTAAAAAAATCGTCATTTAAATATTGAAATAATATATAAAATATGTAAAATATTTCTTTATTTTAATTTTATTTATTTCAATGTTATTCCGTAATATTAAATATTTGTTATATTATTTAGATATTTTTAATGTTTTTTTATTTAATATTTTTAGTTATCGAAATATTTAAATAATGTTTTATTTTTTAATGTTAAATTTTTATTATTTGAATAACATTTAAATTGAATAATTCGTAAAATTATAATTTATATTGTTACTACATAATTTCATGATGAAATTTTAAAAATATTGAATTATTAATAATATGAATATTATTACATCTATTAATTTTGTGTGTTTTGAATAAATATTTTAAATTTAGTATATAATTTCGTTATAACATTTAAATAGTTCTGAATTTTTTTAATTGAGCATATGTAATTTCTTTATGGTTGTTAGAAATAGTTGAGCATATGTGATTTCCTTATTGGTTTAATGGGTAATTATGTAGAATTGAAAAAATAAAAAATTCAAAAAAAACAGAAAATCCGAAAGGGGGGTTTGAAATAAGGAGATGTATGGTGCCGTGGATAGATCAATTTTAATATGTATTATATATATATATATATATATATATATATATATATATATAGATAGATAGATAGATAGATAGATAGATAGAGAGAGAGAGATGCTTGGATTTATGGCTATACAATCTACAGAAAATTAGGAAGGAGGATTTGAAGTAAGGACAGGTATGATGACATAGACAGACCATGGTTCATGGCTGTACAGTAATACAATCTTTATTATTTTTTTGCCTTTTTTCTTTCTTTACTCATGTTTTCTTTACCTCTTCATATTTGCCTATATAAATTTGAATGTCAAGCTATTTATCCATTCAAAAAGGAACAATAAAAGTCAAAATTTGAATTTTTTATCAGGGGTTGGTCAATTTTGAATTTCAGCCTATAATGAATCAAAATAGTATCAATTGAAATCTAGTTAGACCATTCCATTCTGATTCCGATTTCTATGGCGTGGCAAACCAAACGGACCCTTAGTAATATTACCCTAAACAGTCAGCACGGCACGGTCGGATACGCCAGATTAATCCGTCTGCATAGTTTTGTTCTTACAACTCATAGCCGATACTGTCATTAGGGACTTGCAAGCGACCTCACCATTCTCTCACTGTTGTTCTCCTCGAGTTTGGGGACCGCAACTAGCGAGAAGTCGCAGCAAGTCTCATTACCAGCGACAGATACTTTTTCCTTTTCTTCTTCTTCTATCTCTTTTTCCTGTTGGGAAATATCTGTCTGCCACAAATTTAAAACAAAGTTATTTTTTCTGTAACTAGTCTTTCATAACTCGGCAACTTCTTCAATCCCAGCACCAGCTCAAGCTGCCGCGACAGGGAGAAGTTATTCCAGTAGGAATCTTTTAGGAATCGTTCTGAGAATCAGAAACACAAATCGATGCCAAACAGGGGTTAAGCTGCCGCGGCATAGAAAAAGGTTCGTCCAGACAATTGCAGCTCTAGTACGCATCCCTCAAGTAATCAAAACCAATGGGAAAACGATACGGCAGAAAAAGAGGTACTCACAATACACTTGCTCTTGTGAAAACTGTCTGAGACCTTAGTTCCATTTTTATCTGTTTTTGGTTTTTCAAAAGTTATTTGTTTCAACTGTTGCATTGAATTTATGTTTTTGCACGAACTTAGGATGAATCTTTTTCTTTGTATAAGTAGACTAGATTATGCTGCTTTAAGAATGAACTCCTTGTATATTGTTTTTATTTGATTGTAGTTTTATTTAATAAACATCAATAAATAAGTGCAGAAATAGTGTGGGAATAGGTATGTTACGAAGAAGTAGGAGAAGAGGAGAAGAGAAGAAGAGAAAAGAAAAGGGTTTTCCAGGAGAAAACAAACTGAACTCTCATGTGTTTTATTTCTTAATCATAAACTGAAATTACAAGACTGCCCTTATTTAAGTGATATAAGAGAAAGAATAAAACAGCCTAATACGAATTAACAAAGGACAGTTATACCCTTGCCGATTAGACGTTAACCTCCACCCTCAAGCTGGAGGCTGGAGCATATATGTCATAGAACTCCAGCTTGTTATAGATATAGTTTGTTCTAGTTTGACTCAAGCTCTTACTGAAGAGATCTGCTAATTGGTCTTCTAATTTGAAACATGGTGCAACTATTTTGCCATTTGTCACCTTCTATATGACAAAATGGCAGTCAACTTCTATATGTTTCGTCCTCTCACTGAAAACTGGATAGTCACAAAATAGCTTTGTAGCTTTAGCACTTTAGCTATAGGAATACTGATCTCCTGAAGGAGATGTTTCAGCAAAATCAACTCATTGGTAGTGTGTGTCTTTTGTTTGTGATAGTTAACAGATATCATTTCATTAATATGAACAAAAATGTACATAGATGAGCAAGAGGGGTATGAGTACTCCTAAAAGTATTTATCAAAAAAAGGGACTACCCCTAAAAGATAAAAACAGTTTAAACAATTGAGCCCAAGATAATTGTTCCCTAACAACCCCCTGCCTAGCTAATGAATCAGCCATCCCATTAGCATCCCTAGGAACCCCATGAAAACAAGCTGTCATTCCCCTTAATAACCACTTGATCTTCTTCATCACTTTACAGTAGGTCCAAGTTACCTTCATTTCATTCTCTAACCAGTTTATCACCACTTGAGAGTTCCCTTCAACCACCAATCTTCTAAGATTTAGTCTTTCTGCTAATTGTGCCCCACACAAACAATGGATAGTTCAGCTCTAGTGGAGTCTCCTTGAGCACTAGGACCCGAGAGTGGAGCTAAAGTGACTCCATCTTTATCCCTGAAAACCCCTCCTATACTTGAGGGGCTTGGGTTATTGAGACAGCTCCCATCAAAATTGAGTTTTATGAAGCTTTCTGGAGGAGGTTCCAAACTCTTAATTCTTCTAGATTTTCTTGTAGATGAAGAAGCCACTTCCCTCCAATTTCTTCTTATGTCTCATAAAAGGAAAAAGGTGAGAACAAATCCAAGGACCTGACCCAATTAATCACCCTTAAAAGAATACATTATAGGATTGCTTCCATAGATCTCTCCTCTTCCTTGAAAAGTCTTTTATTTCTTTCATCCCAGACTATCCATAACAGGGCAGCCTTAGTGCATCTCCACAAAAATTCTTCCTCTTTTCCTTGGCCAATTAAAGGTTCTACCTGCAAACAAACTAACTAAGCTTGTAGGCAGGGTCCACCTGCTCCCAAAAAGATCAAAGAACCACTCCCAAATAGAATTTATCAAAAAAAAAAAAAAACCCACTCCCAAATAGAGGTAACAAAAGAGTAGGAATAAGGATGTGATAGGCTGTCTCACTGTTTGCTTTGCAAAGTGTGCACCGGTTTGGGGATGAACAAACATTTTTCATTCTCTTTTGTAGCAAATTCAGAGTGTTGATTTTTCCATGAAAGACCTCCCAAACAGAAAGCCTCTATTTTTAAGGGAACTGGTTTGCACCAAACCTCACTGGAAAGGAAGATCCAAAGGGAGCACAAGCAACCAGAGACCGGAGGCAGGAGACACAAGAGAAAGAGCTTTTGGGGGCCAGGAATCCAGATTCTTTCATTAGGAAGAAAATAATTACTGCAACTGAATCAAGGATAAGCAGTAACTCGGATACAAGGAAACACTCAACCTCTCTTTACCCTTTTCTAAGACCCAAGTTCCATGCCACCCCTTTAGAACTAGGGTAAAAGGAAGATGTAGCATCATTTAAAAAAAAATGTAAGGAGTAAATAGAGGGGAAAACATCTTTAAGAGTAGAGTCACCCACTCAAAGGTCCTCCCAAAAGCGAATTTTAGACACTGAATAGCAATCATACCTGACTCGCTCAAGGAAGATAGGCAAAGTCACATGGATAGCTTTCCTAGGAGAGGCCAAAGTAGCTCTGTTTGATGCACCAACATCCCAACAAGTCAATGTGAATGGCTAAGATTTAAGGTAGTGGAGATGGTCCATGTCAGGGGTTTTCTCAGTCAGTTCATTTTATGGTGGTTTGATGGGTGAGCAGGAGAGTTCATTTCCTTATAGAGCAATTTGGGGAAATGCAACTCCCTCAAAAGTGAAGTTTTTTGCCTGGGTAGTGGCCTTGGAAAAATGCTTAACTAAGGATTTGCTGGTCAGGAAAGGAGCTAATCTAGCAAATGTGGGTTGCTTCCTCTGCAATGCTGATAGGGAGTCTGTGATTCATCTGTTCCTAAATCAAATGGGTCAGAGGCTTTTGGGGAGAGAGGAATGTTAGGTGGAGCTTTGCCCCATCATGGGGAGCTTCGGGGGGCATCATAACAATCTGGAGGGATGAAACAATACAGTGCATCAAAGAACTGGTGGGTAAATACTCAGTGTTGGTAAAATTAAGGAATGTTTAGGATGGGTTTGAATGGGTTCTCACAAATGCGTATGGGCCAAACTCTTATAGAGAAAGAAATTTGTTTTGGGATGAGTTAGCAGAGAGCCAGACATTAGAGGTCTGTGGGATGGACCGTGGTGTCTTGAGAGGATTTTAACATAATCAGGTTTGTGGAAGAATCTAATGGGTGTAGGAGAAGGGCTACGACAAGCATGAGAAAATTTAATGAGTTCATAGTGGCCTTTGAATTGAAAGATTTCTCTTTGGGGCAATCAAGATTCACATGGTTCATCTTTAGGCTAATCCGATATGTTCCAAGCTGAATTTTGAGAAAGCCAAAGAATTGGGAATTGAACACTAAATTATTGAAAGCGACTCCAAAATAGTGGTTGATTGGCTAAAGAAGGGAGAAGGAGTATCTTGACATCTAAGGAATGTTCTTAGGCGTTTCAAATGGCATTCTAGGGCATGTCTATTCAGGTTAATTGGGTTAGAAGATCTGCCAACAGCCTGGCAGATGGTCTAGCTAAGCTAGGGGTTCAGAGACAGAGAATGTTTATGGGCTCAGCTGTAATACATTTGGGGGGTCCAGACACTTGGTGTCTGTTGTAATTTCCACAATGTCTTGCTTCTCTGCGTTATTTTAAAATTAATAAATTCTTCTTATGAGTTATTGATAAAAAATCATCTGTTCCTATTTTGTACTTTTTCTTCTAAAGTCTGGAATCATTTGAGAATTTCTGTTCCAGCTGTTGGGTGCTTCCCGAACTCTGTGAAGGACCTGTTAGCAGGGTGGAGGATGCAAGGAATGTCCAAGAAAAGGAGAGCTTGCTGGGGTGTGGTTCCCATATCTGTCTTGTGGACAATATGGTCTGAAAGGAATAGTAGAATTTTTTAGCAGAACTCGAATCTGGTGGAGGTGGTTATCAGTTCTGCAGTTGACATGTTGAGAGCATGGCTGTCTACTCTTACATGTTTCAGTCTAGATGACCTCTTGTCCACTTTCTTGAATGTAAATTTTTTTGGGGGTCCTTAAAGGGTGTTTTTGTACAGAATACTCTTGTACAGAGGATCATAGTTGTATATGTATTTTTTCAGTTAATATAAATTATACTTTACTTTTGCCAAAAAAAGAGTGCTTTTTATTGTTAAACAAAATAGAGGACTGAATCGTACTTTGTATAAATATATTGTCATAAGAATTGTCATTCAGTTTGGTAATGAAGTTTTATTTTTTTATTGATTTTACTCGGGGCGTATGAGACCTAAAACACCTGAGAAAACTGACACAAGCAAGGATATGAGGAAAAATCAACGTTCTGAAAATAATGTTGCTCATAGCACATCACCAAGTTCCTCAGGTAATACGTATCTTCCTTGTAAGCATGTGGCTTTTCTATTCCTGGAATTTGAAACCTCCTTGTGCTTCAAGGTCAATGAAAATTCATTTTGGCTTTTATAGTCTTGGCAGTATTGGTCATAGTAGAAATCACTAATTGCAGATTTAATCGAGTTTCTTGTGAAAGGAAAGAGGGGGAAGATGAAGATTTCAGCAGTAGAGAAGAAAGGAGAAGAAGAAAAGAGTAGGAAGTCTACCAGGATTGTAAAATTAACCCTAGCCGCCTACCTCTCATTATATTTATACTTAACTTAAAGGATGAGATATTACAAGGATGCCCTTAGTAG